CTAAATCTGTCATCGTATTTTCCAAGACGTTCTTGATATCAGAGTTACAACACTCAACTTTGGATTTTCTTATAAACGCCATATTTGATTTCGGCATTTTTGAAAAGTCTTTTTGTTCCTGATTACAACGATGTATCACATGATATAATCAAATTTTACATTCTGATCAAAATTAAGAAAAAGCGTTTTTGCAAAGAGTGCTTTGGAAAAAACGCCACCAATTTTAATTAACAAACTAAATTTTGACAGTTCAATTGAATTTGAAACTGGAAGTCACATTTCCAAAAGATGCTCGAGTGCACTGTTTTAAAATTTAGTTTGTTAATTAAAATCAAAAACAAAAAAACTTTTCAAAAATACAGAAATCAAATATGGCTTCCATAAGAAAATCCAAAGTTGAGTGTTGTAACTCTGATATCAAGAGCGCCTTGGAAAATATGATGACAGATTTAGAGTCCTTGTAAATAAGCACCTTAAGAACGTCCTAGTTAAAACGTCTAGTCTTTTAGTTTTCGCTTGAAAAAATAAAAACAAAAATTACAAATTTTTTTTTTCCAATATTTCAAAAAATAAAATGACACATTACATTTTCTTTCAGATTAACACCCTGTATAGACCTCACACTAACTGATTCGCAAATGTTTTGTCAAAATTATCACACTATGTATTAGATTTTGTCAAAATTTATAGAGAGCTCGCGGCTTTGCCGCTCGCCCCCTTCTAGACTTCACGCTATCTGATTTGCAAATGTAAATTCAATTAAAAATTGAAGATGATTTAGCAAAAAACTGAAAAATTTACAGTTTGCCAACACTTAATCTGCTGTTGGAAATGAGTTTGTTAAAACTGGAAACTTATATCAAATCCTGCCATATTCGAAAATGTTGTGTGGAAAGCAAAAATTAAAAAAATGTAGGCCTCACACTAACTGATGCGCAAATGTTTTGTCAAAATTATCGCACTATTAGATTTTGTCGGAATTTATAGGGGGCTCGCGGCTTTGCC